GGTGCGAGGCGGCCGTTTCGTGCCCGTGGGGAGGCTGGGGGGGGCTTTGCTGCTCCCTCCCGACCCTGCTGGGGCTCTGGGCGGTAAATCCGGTATAAGCTGAAGTAAAGCCGGTGGGTGGTGAGGCTGTCCGGGAGGCACCGGCTGTGCTCTTCTTCCTCCCCTGTCAGGGGCTGCAACCTCTCGCGTGCTAGAAAGCAGCGTATTAGGAAGGAATAGTTTGAAATATTTGCTAAAATATAGACTTAAGGAAGGAAGGTTTCCTGGGAAAAGTGGGTGTCCCAAGACCATCAGAGGGGGTACAGCCTGGTTTCAAATGCCTGCCTTGGCGTACCTGCATGGGCAGTGACCCCAGGTGCTCCTTTTCCCATCCTTTCCTAGTTTGTTTGGGTTTCTTTTCCTTCAAAAGAAACTATTCTGAGTCAGAAATGCAGCATTTCATGATTTGTGTGAAGCGTTTGAATCGGGTAATAGCGACCTGAGTGCCTGAAGGCAGAGCTCTTCATTTTGCTGGGCTCTGGATTTGTGTCCACCTCTGCTTGGCTGCTGTTTGCTGCAAAAAGCTCTGGAGAGGTAGCAGTGGGGTTGCCTGCTCCTTAGGCTGAAAAGATGAGGAGTATTAGGAAATAAACCCCCTTCTCCTTTTAGTTGACAGGATCTCACTGGGATCAGAGACTGTTGTGTTAAGCTGCGGTCACATATATGAGTTTGTCCATACTCTGAAGAGCTTAAATGTAAGTTTTTATGCCAAAGAGTAAAAAAACACCAGAGCTTTTGTCCCAGAGGACTTGTGCTCAGTGAAATGTGGTGATGGTTTTAGCCTCCTGCCATCAGTCTGTGGCTTACCCTGGCACTGAACCTTTAACCACTGCCTCCCCGTTGAACCACGGGATTACCTCTTGCATTAGTTGCCTCCGTTAGGCAATGTTCAGCCTTATTCCTGTTTCTGAGACTAGAGAAAACAAAAAAAGAAAGAAATTTGCTTTTCAAAACATGGCCTTGAATGGCACATTTCGAAGCTTGTTGTCAACTTTGTGAGTCGAGAAGGAACGACTGTCTTTGGTGGTTGGTTTTGATGGTGCAACATGAGGTATTTTTCTCTGCTTTATCTCTGCTGCGGGATGGCTGCTTAGCACAAGCTGATTTGCCCTCTCCAGCTGTTGTTGTCATGCGTGTCCAGTTCCAAAATCTGCCTCAGAAAACAGATGATGTCCACTGTTTGCCTTTGATTAATGAAGTGAGAAAACCAGATAACATAGAATCCTAAAGCTGTTAATAAGGAGACTACTACATGCGGTACATGACTGTGATTAGGGGGATGTTGAAGGCTTTAGGCTCAGAAGCACAGAATTGTGGTGTCTGTGTGGAGTTTTTGGATATATAGACCACACTGCAGTTCTCTTAGTCCTTCAAACAGTTGGCTTGTGTAGATGAAATCACTTTATTAGCAGTAGTTTTAGTGAGGTGATGAGTTGAGCTTTCAGCTACATGTTTTCACACAAGCAGTGCAAGTGTTTTGTTATTAAACCACTCAAGATGAAACTGGTTTGATGACTCGAAATTATAGTTTACTACATTTTTGATTGTACAGAACAAAATTTAATTTCATTTTTTTACAACTTTGCCATCAGAGAAGATAAAAATACGATTGTATATAAATTTTATGAAGAGTGAGAAGCCTAAATTGACAGCAGGTTTATTTAATTTAGCTAATTAATTTAATTCCTTACAGTGTTTTCTATGGAAGGGGGGCAGTAAACCCCATCAAACTCTCTCTTTTTTAATTCTCTTTTTAAAGTAAGTGTAAACGTAGAAAACGTGCATCAGGTTGCAGGTAGGGTTGATGTAGAGGAAAGAGTAATAGCCTTTTTCTGGATAGTAGAAGCTTCCCCAATCCTATAGTTTGTAGTTAATTATGGTTTTAATAGTTTAGGTGAGCTGGAAGGATAAGTGATGGAAACTGAGAGAGAAGATGAATTCTGGGGACTTTGCAAGGTCCTTTGGCAAATGGGGAGTGTGAACCAGTCCCAGCTACGGGAGCAGCTTGGGATGATGACAGATGTGAATTGTGGGAGTGACAAAGGGGACTTAAAAACCCAAATATGTGAAATTCATGAGTAGCTGGGGAGCGGTAGCGGTTGAGATTAGACAGAGGAAGATTTGTACGTGTGGGACTCGAGGCAAAGAGTGGACTTTATTTTATTAGGAAAGAGAGAGAATGAAAGGAAGAAAGACCAGCACCCGGTAATACTACTGAACTGGCAAAGCAGCATGTTTAGAACAGCAGACAAGAGACTCTGATTTATTTCTTTGTATTTAGTTAACTGCAGATAGGAGGTAGTAAATGCTGAAGGGAAGGGTACAGGACCTAAAATATAGGGTAGGAAATAGATGGTGTGTGAAAATATCATAAGAGAGTGGTGATGCACTGTTATCTGTTAACTCAGCAAACAGCTCTGAAAGGAGTTCTTCATTAAAAACTAGTTTAGACACATTAATCAACTCCTCCTTCTGATGTTTTATGAAATAGGTGTCATGACAGGCAGTCAACACTGGAGGAGAGGGGAATTAATTTCTAAGCTCTATCAAGCAGTAAAACTTACCACAAATAAGAACATCTAATAACTGCTGCTACCTTATTTACTGGCGGTTTTTGTAGCACAGATAAAATAAAGGTGCACCAACCAATCTTGATTCCTGCGGTCTTGTCTAACATGGGCCTGAATGGGTAACGTCACGCAAGTAATCCCTTTGGATTTACTGGATTTGTTTGTTGACAGCAAGTGTTTCGGGGCCCAAAGCCAGAGAGCTGAATTCCCTTGCACAATAACTGAAATAAAATTTGAAAATTGAGACTTCAGAGCTTCTCGCAGTAATGGAGATGTTAAACTACAGCAGCTATATTTTTTTTATTCCTAATTTAGTTGATATACACCATAAGCGATGTGTGAAGCTGCCAAACAAATACCATTTTCTATCCTTGGAGAAATAAAATCTAGGCACAATAGGGCATAGCACACAAATTGCAGTAGGAATACTTTACGGAGTAATTTTGAGCATTTAGAAGTGTTTCTAACTTCAGTTGGCATATTTCTCTCTTTCAGTTCTCTGAGAAAGTTGTCACTTTGCTGAAGCTTAAGAAAATCTTCCGTGTTACGGGCTTAAACAGCCGTAGAAAACTCTTGTTTATAGAGATCCAAAATCCTTGTCTTGGAAAAGCGCAGGTATTTTTGGCAGTTTCTAAACCATTCTGTTAATCTCGTGGCAAAACAAAATTCACAGAATCATAGAATCACAGAATGGCTCGGTTGGAAAAGCCCTCTGAGCTCATCACGTCCAACCGCTCCTGTCTACCCCCTAAACCACATCCTTAAGTACCTCGTCTACCCGCTCTTTAAACACATCCAGGGATGGGGACTCCACCACCTCCCTGGGCAGCCTGTTCCAGCTTCTGACGACCCTCTCAGTAAAGAACTTCCTCCTTATCTCTAACCTGAACCTCCCTTGGCACAGCTTGGTGCCGTTTCCCCTTGTTCTATCGAGAAGTGAAGGTTTTTTTCCCCCCTTATCTGTGTTCTGAAGTCATCCCTGAGGAAAACAGCTACTGCTGCAAAACGTCCTTGTCAAAGCTGTCACCCCCTGATGAGAAAAATTACAGGGTTTAATTAAAATTTTAAAATACCTTTATGTATGTCATGGTCACATCAGCTTTTTCTGAAGAACCCAGTGCGTTATTACTATGATGAGTTTTGACTATGTCTTTTTTTCTTGAAGAAGGCAAACAGAATCTTTGTTTCCTTTATCTTTAGAAAGATAACAAAGTTGTCCCCTAAACACATGTACAGTATTGCTCATCAGCATGAAATTATTTGCTTAACCATAAAGGGAAGCACAGGCATATGGCACCTTTTTCTCTTTGCTCCTTATCTTCCTAAATTCATGGATATTTTCCTGTGTCTGTCAAAGATTTCTTTCATTTTCCCATTGCCCCTTTCTTCCCACACTATTCTTATTTTCCGGTTGTTATTTGACTGTATAGCAGGTGTAGCTCTAACCAAGCTGTTTCTCAACTGTGTTTTTCTTGAGGTGCAGGGATTTAAGGAATTGAGCATAAGTACAGGTTGGACGCTTTGATTTTATTGTGTTAATACAGTGAATATCCCATGTTTTCAGCACTGGGAGGACTGAGGGTGTGAAAAAATAAACCACGTGGATTATTCAGTGTCAGAGCCCTTACAGATGAGAAGAAATCGTGCATTTGAACTCAAATTTGATGAGCTCACAGCAGTGAGAAGTGGTTAGCCCGTATTTAGTGGTTACCCTATACCCTTAGATGTGGGCTGAACCTAAGAAATAAGCTTATTCTTAAGAAATAGGTTCTAAAAAGAACTTACGTTCACTAGAAGGGTTTAACTTGTTTTTTTCTTCATCCTAAACAAAACCTGAGAATTTCTGCATCCCTGCTTGCTAAATGGTGGCTTTCTGTTAACCTTTTATTATTTCCAAGAAGTTAATAACGTGTCTTTTGCTTTTGTCTTTCAGATTTCCTTATGTGGTCAAGTAGATGTGTTTATTTCAGCCCTAAAATTGCCGATGCCAGTGCTTGCTATGGCATCTGTGGCTTCACCGGTTATATTTAAGGAGTTTTGTCCCCTGTATTATCTTCTCAATGCCATTCCTACAAAGATCCAAAAGGGCTTTCGCTCTATCGTAGTGTACCTCACAGCGCTTGATACCAATGGAGACTACATCGCTGTGGGGAGCAGCATTGGGATGCTTTATCTCTACTGCAGACATTTAAACCAGATGAAAAAATACAATTTTGAGGTAAATGCTAACTTCTCCTCATTTCTGATGAGGCCCAGTTACTCAGCATTGAGCTGCTCTTGGTCTCTCATTAATGTTTTGTATTTTACATGGTTTGTTTCAACAGGGGAAGTGTGAATCGATCACTTTTGTGAAGCTGTTGAGCTGTTTCGATGATCTGGTTGCTGTTGGGACAGCCTCGGGTCGTGTTGCTGTTTTCCAGCTCGTGTCTTCATTACCTGGAAGAAACAAACAGGTAAATCTTGGCATTTGGCTGAACTTCTGTGAGGTTAAGTGTGGCAAATCCTAGTAAAGTGCTACTGTGATTCTTTGTAATAAAATATTGGATAAAACATAAAAAAATTAAATATCTGTGAATGTGTTTTAGGCTTCATATATTAAGCTTATAAAAACCATAATCTTAAAGCATGCTTTTTATTATAAAAGATATATTTAATAAAAATGCCTTTGAGATATTCCCTGTTTTTAATAACTGGCTGAGCTATTTGGTCGTGGGTTTTTTGATTGTTCAGGTTTTTGTGCTAAATAAAAATTCGAATGACCTGCGCTTTCGTACTTGATCTCCAGTTTATCAGTCAGAGGCACTGAATAGGCTTTTTGTCTGCATTTTCCCCTCGTTCTTACCTTGCTTTGGTATCATTTCCCAGCTTCGGAGATTTGATGTTGCCGGTATCCACAAAAGCAGCATTACAGCTTTAGCTTGGAGTCCCAATGGGATGAAATTATTCTCTGGAGACGACAAAGGGAAGATTGTCTACTCTGCTCTAGACCTGGACCAGGTGAGCATTTGTTACAGACACCTTAATTCTCAGTTACAGTTTTCTGAAAGAGTGCTTGTGTGTTTAAATATTTAGGTTAGATTCCCTATATTGATGAAGTCCTTCTTTCAGAATTGCTCAGCATCTCAGTCTAGAGTGTAGAATGAAGGCAATTCTTGGGTTCTGCTGGATGGTTAGCATGTTACCAGTAAATTGAATTCTTCTGATGTCTTGTTAATTAATAGAGACCTGGGATGTCAACAAAATAAGTACTAACTTGAATTTCTATATGAGAGAAAAGTCTAAACAACAGCTATCCTGATTTAGTTGTGACTGTCCCTCATTTGATTTGACAGAAGGGTTTAACATCTCCAAATGTAACGATTGTCTCAGCATCGTACGACCTGGCAGTAGAGAGAAGGAAGAAAACATGTCCTAGAGTTTCTATTGATTTCAAGTGACATGCACTAGCTAATATTGCAGGAGAAATTGAATTTCATAGTGTGCCACTGTGGTACACGCAATCAAACTCCCCTCTTGTCTGCATAAATGAACTCCACGTTCATTAAATGAACTTTTTGCAATGGTTTTTTCAAAAGCCTTCATTTGTTTTCTCTTTCTTGGGCTTATTAATTTCTTTAAAGTGTTAATTATTACCTTATACTTTTAGAAAGGTTGACTCGTGTTAATTGCACGTATCTTTAAAAGGGTATTTGCAACTCCAGCCTTGTCTTGGAAGAGCCGTCTTCGATCGTCCAGTTGGATTACAACCAGAAAGTGCTGCTCGTCTCTACTCTGCAACGGACTCTGCTTTTTTACACGGAAGAGAAATGTGTCAAGCAAGTGGGAACACAGCCCAGAAAAAAGTAACCCTCATAAAATCTTGGTGCAGGCACAGCTATTAATTCTAGCTTTTCAGAGTGGATTACAGAAAGAGTGATCTAAGCAGTGAAATTAATACAACGCAGCAGTCCGCTCGTAAAAAGTTAGTTACAGTGTGTGCCCAAACATGAAATGACAACTCTGCCCACTTAGAAAGTACATGGTTGCAGATACGTTACAATCATATTGTCAGGGCAGTATTACGCAAAAATATTTAAGATGGTTTTTCAGTTTTTTAAGCTGATATCACTGCCAATGTTTCTCTGCAGTCCCTCTTGGTTTCCTGTGTCTTGGTGTGAGTAAGCGTTGTAATTGGGTCCATCTGATGGGCGATGCAATATCTGATGTAAGAAGCAAGTCAGCATCCTGATTTTTCTTATATTAAAAGGGAAAACGTACAGCAAAGCACTTGAAGTTGACTTGAGGGCTAGGGACTTGTATGACCTTCTGATGGCTTCTCTTGTGTAATCTCGAATGTGAAGGAAGAAGGAATGCAGTCTTTGAGCTGCATGACTGACTGTATCTGAATTAGAGGAAATTGTGTCTTGAAAGAAGGTTTATGATCTTTCAGGGCTATGAATAGCAGGAGGACCAAGGACCATCTTATGAGGGGTTTTCTTGGGGATAGTAATGGTGTTTTTATGCATCAGAAATGAAGATTTTAACAGATGAGGTCTGTTTCTTGCCTCTTGCAAGAGAGGTTGTCAGCTTCTTAGCATCAGCTTGCAGTGTTCTGCTTGGTTTTTATTAATTCTGGGAGAAGGATGACAGCATAGTGCTATCTTTGAGAAGGACAGATAGCACCATTAAGTCTGTGAAGTTTATTAGAAGGAGTCACTTAACTTGCCTCATAGATGCAGTGCCTGACATCTAGAGCTGAGGGAAAGCTGTTATTCAGAAGCGTTCTTTTCTTACTGTAACCAAACTTCAGACATTTGGCTGAATACTTTGATCAAAGAACAAAACTTTTATTTTTTTATAGTTTGCATTTGTAAATGTGTGCCATTAGTTTTAAAAGTTGTTTCTAAGTTGAGTGTATAGCTTTTACAAGAAATCCTTCTGTTTCATTTTAGCACTGGCAAATTTGGAGCGTGTTTTATACCTGGTCTGTGTAAACAGAGCGACCTGACACTGTTTGCAGCCAGACCTGGGCTCCGTCTCTGGAAGTCTGATGTTCACGGGAGCGTTCAGGCCACGTTCATATTGAAAGATGTGTTTGCTGGAGGAATCAAAACGTTTGAACTCTATCCTCGCTTGGAACCCCCTGACAGGGGAAGTTACAGCTCCCCAGAGAAACACCTGGGGCTTGTTTCCTGCTTCTTCCGAGAAGGATGGGTGCTGACCTGGAATGAGTACAGCGTCTACTTACTGGACACTGTCAACCAGGTAGGTAAACCTCACCAGTGCATGTTTTGCTTCTTACTTGTTTTTATTCTTGGGTTATCCATTACACTTCTGTGATTTAATTCCATATTTAAACCTAACAAGGAAGATGTAATTCTCTCCCTCTTCTAATTGTTGTTGCAATGATGTACTCACAAACTAGCTCAATATATTATATATAAAAATTAAATACATTTAAAGCTTTCAGTCCAGGTGTTCACATCATAATCAGTTCTGATACTTAGCAAAGCGTATCTAAATCTAGTAATTAATGCAAAAAAGTTTTACACCTCTAAAATGTACCTGAAACGATTTATTCTTTCCCTTCTACTGTTGGTGTCTGCAAAAAACCTAAGGATTGCCTTTTATTTAGTATGGAGTGAGCTGTTAGCTGTTCTGTCATCTTAGATGTGTGTGAAAGTGAATGCAAGCTAAAATCTTTTTGTCTAAATGATACTAAACATTTGTGCTGTGACTCTTTTGCCACCAAATTATACGTTTAAGTTGTGATATTGTTGCTGCTGCTAGTTTGGACAGAGAAAATACATAGATTTATGGAATTAGAATTAGTATATAAATGAACTACATTGTGATTAAAGGATGCTTTCCTGTTTCTTTTGTCTTTGTTTTTGATAAGATACAATCTTTATGCTCTAATCACATGTGTTGATTGAATTCCACTGAACGCTTTTGTTCCGAGCACCATCTTGTCCAAACAATGTGTTCATCTGCTGCCAATGGTTTCTTTCTGTGTTGATTCTTCGTAGGCTTTGATTGGTGGCTTGGAAGGATACGGTGATATTGTGTCTGTGTCCTGCACCAACAATGAGATTTTTCTCTTAAAGGGAGATAGAGACATAATAAGAATTTCCAGCAGGCCCGAAGGAGCGTCATCATTAGGTTTGTATAGATTAGCAAACTATAGTGTGTACCTCATGGAGCATGGTGCCTATTGTGCCTTTTTAATATTAAAAATTAAGAAACCAAAAGAACTCAACCCAACGCAAACACCAGATAAGAACCTTCGGGTTATTGCAAAAACCAGCCAGGTTCTGTAGAGTTCCTTCTCTGTTTCTGCAGATTACATGAGCAGATAAATCAGATCTGAGCTTCTCTCTTGGCTGCAGTGAGAATGGGGGCATTAAGAAATTAATTACGGTTTCCTTTTATTGAGAGTGGATCAGCTTTATCCTAGCCAGGCATCTCTAATCTGTGCATTTGAGACGTTATTCTAAGCCATGATGCTGAAGCAATCTGGATTCCCGATCGTGGTTGTCTCGTTCCTGATCAGTCTCAATTATCTGGGTTGCAGATTCCTGAGTGTGTTGATTTGGTGTCACCTTTCACCACCCACATTCAGAGGAAATCTCAGCCTTCCAAGCAATGACAAAGAACGAACTGGCAAAAACCCCCAAGAACACTCACTAAAATTCCAAAAAGAGTTGCAGAGTTTCTTTTCTTATTTGTTGCCGTCTGAGTTCAGCATCTCTGTTACCAGGACTCCCTAAAAGGGATTAATAATGCTTCCTTAACAATGGTGCTGGCTGATTTCTCCATCATAAAGATTGTAAACACCATTATCCAGCATATTACACTCACAGGAGTAGTAATTATGCATTTAAAATACTCCAGCTTGGCTCTGTATTAGCAAAATGCTAGTAAAGAGGCTTTGAAGTCTCACTGGATGCTGGAGAACATAACTTTCTTATTGCATATTAGGGATAGCGTTATTTAAGCAGTTCTTTACTTGCAGACTTCTAGGGGGTGTTTATTTTTAATCTTAACTGCAAGTATAGTTTGAAAAGAGCTGTCTTGAAGTATATTCTCTGAATATCACAGTGGTTTATCTGGTAGATTTTCCTTGAGTGTTTTCAAGACACTGAATATTTGAATGAGGAAGTTGAAGATACAGGGTGGCACTTCAGTGTGCGATACAGTTGGGTCTTCTAAACTAAAGACCTGTACTATTCTCCATACATAAACATAAATTGAGAATTTTTGCTAATAGAGGTTGGATGCAGGCTGTGGGGGACTGATTTTACTGAAATGATTTTGTATGGTTTGTATGAAGTTTACATTCTATGTGTGCATATATATATATTTGAAATATTGAGAACTTAGAATACTTTTTCCACTGCATACAGTTACTTTTCTTTCAATACTCTCTGAGAACTCTGCTCCTCCTCCCTTGACACACCAGTATTAATACTTTTATTTTTTCTTTTGCTCAGTTTCAGATACGAATTCAAAACTGCTGAATCCTTTGACAGACACGAGTCCTAAATTACCGACCCCGTTATCAGCCATTGCACCTGTATCATCGACCCCTTCCGTGGAAACAGAGAAAAAAGTGATTATTGGTGACAAAAACGACTCTCATCCTTTAGTGAAAGATGATCTGGATACACCAACGCTATCAGAGAAAAGTTTTGATAGAGTGGGAGACTTGAGCACTGAAACAAGAAGAAGGGGCTGCTCCATAGTGAGTGAACCGAGGAGCAGGAGCAGCTCGGTGAACTCTGTGGACAGCGGCTCCAGCTTCCTGGTATGCGCAGACCAACTTTCCGAAGCCCCGAGGGAAGCTCAGCTTTCTTCACAACGCTTCAGCATCATCAGCTCTGAGGATTTTGATCAAGAACTCATTGTAAAGCCAATTAAAGTGAAAAAGAAAAAAAAGAAGAAACAAGGTAAGTCAAGCAGATCTTGCCCTGCCACTGCTCATTATCAGAATGTGTCGCTTTTGACGTGTGTTTGATGTGCTTTAGTTATTTTAGTTATTGGCCAAGAAGGCCAACGCCATCCTGGGGTGGATGAGAAGGGGTGGTTGTAGGGCAGAGAGGTTCTCCTGCCCCTCTGCTCTGCCCTGCTCACACCACAGCTGCAATCTTGTGTCCAGTGCTGGGCCCTCAGCTCCAGAGGGACAGGAACTGCTTGAAAGAGTCCAGCAGGGCCACAAAGATGCTGAAGGGAGTGGAGCATCTCCTGCTGAGGAGCGGCTGAGGGAGCTGGGGCTCTTGAGCTTGGAGCAGAGGAGACTGAGGGGTGCCCTCATTCCTGGGGATCCATTGGGAAAGGGCAGTGTCAGGAGGAAGGAGCCAGGCTCTGCTCTGGGATGGCCAATGCCAGGACAAGGGGCAATGGTCCCAAGCTGGAGCACAGGAGGTTCAAGCTGAAGATGAGGAGAAACTTTGTGAGTGTGAGGGTGGCAGAGCATGGCCCAGGCTGCCCAGAGAGGTTGTGGAGTCTCCTTGTGTGCAGACACCCAAAGCCCTGGCCGTGTTCCTGTGTGACTGCTCTGGTGATCCTGCTCTGGCAGGGGTTGCACTGGGGGAGCTTTCCAGGTCCCTTCCAACTCCTGACATTCTGTGATTCTGTGATTTTATATTGTCATAGATTTGAGTGGTTGTGGTGAAACGTTTTATGTTTAAGATGAAAGCCTGTTTTCAAAGTGACACATTGATTAAGTCTCTTTAGATCTGTTAGTTTTTGGGGTTTTTTTTTACGTTGTTTTGCTTCATGGAAACATGCTGACGGTTCCAATGTATGGGTCAATGGTAACACAGTGCACTCTGCTTCCAGTTTTATTTTGAAATTGTGTAATATCTATTCATCCTGTGTAGAATATTTGACAGTTTGCCATGGTTTTTAGCTTGTTGAAACAGTGTGAGTACTTGATTATTCTAATTGTTCGCTGTATTGGTATAACAGCTTTAAAATGTTTTGCTCCTAATACTTTTTTGGCTTTATGTAAATCATTTAGTGTTGAATTTGAAAGAAAATCAGTATTTCAAAATTCAGATTTAACTCTATTCTTCCTCCAGTGATCAAAATATTTTAATTTCTTAATTTGCATCGAAACCTAATAGATTTTATTAATACCGTATTGGTTTTTGTTTGCTTTTTGTGAGAACAGAAAGCGGGACGAGGAGGAACCAGAGCTCTCTGGAGGGCACGCCGCTCTATGAGCGGCAGCTCTCTGGGGACAGTCCTCAATCACTGAACGCAGACTCCTTGTCCATGACTTCCAGCCTGATGAGCGGCAGCATCGATCGTTTGAGCACAGGATCTCCGGATCGGGAGAGCATCTTCAGTGTGGAGTCCCACACGCTCTTGCAGGAAGATAACGGTTCAGAGACCTTCAGTGTCCTGCAGTCCCCCGAGTCTGCGACTGTGCTAATTAACGAAGAAAATGGAGACACGGTGGATGTCCAGAAACTCCCAAGCAGTGACAGTGGCATGGGTACTTCGGCTGTTGCAGATGCTTTGGCATCTGCCTCTCCTCTGATCCTTGCAGCAGACTTTACGAGCAGCGTTGGTGGTGAGTCTAACGGCAGCGTGGTTTCTGCGAGCAATGAGCGCTGTCTTGGAAAGCTGAGCCAAGAGGAGGAGCAGGGTTTTCCTCCGTTGTGTGAAATAGATGAAAATGTAGATAAGATGAAGCTGCGGGATGCCGAAAAGTCTTTTGAGGAGCCAGACCTTACAGACCAAATGTTTTTGGAATGTGACAGTGTGCTTGGTGTTCAGACATCACCAATACCAAAGGAAAGTGAGGAAAATGGTAGGGAAGACCCAGAGCAGCTCTCTCTGATACACAGCGCTCTGTCAGATCCCTCTGTGCCCCACTTTGACGCTGCCAACGACGTTGATTCAGACAGCGCTTCCATTTCGGGATGGAGTTTTGAGAGTGCAATCAAAGCTAAATCTGGCGCTAGCGCTGCTGAATGGGTAACAGACACTCAGGAAAATAAGGCTGAGAAATCTGCCTCGAGTGATGAGGAGGATATATATGGCCATGGATTACCCTATTCATCCTCAGAGACGAGCATGCCCGAAGTTGGTGCTGGGCCTGGCTCCCAGGATGCGGCCAAGACGAGCCTGGATGAGACGGTGCTGTTAAAATCTGATCAGGTACGTGGTTGCAATGTCATGAAAATACTTAATTGTAGCATTTCAGAAGAAACATTCGTGTCATTAGTATCCCTTATTTCTTTAGGAGAGCAATTTTTTCTCATTTGAGTCAAGTAAACAAGTAAAATACAAAGCCAAAGGGCAATATGTTGTTGTAACTCATGAGATGTGAGTTATCAGACTGCAGCGTGGTTGGTGTGTGCGTACGATGTGAAGAGGCTGCCCTGGCTGTATTCTCAGCTCAACAGAAATGCTGTCCTAAACCCATCGGTTAAAGAGGGAATGGTAACACCCAGTTGTGCTCACAGGCTGCTCCTTGTCTGGGGCTCCAGTAGCCCAAATTCTGCACGATGCTGTTCCCAGCTCCAACTGACTTCACAGGGAATTACTGCTGATTGTCCCACATGGCCTGTGGTTAAGGATCATTTTACCTGTAAATACTCAGAATAAGGATTAGTCTTTCTGTGTGTCCTTGACAGCAGTTAATACTGTTTAAAACGTTGACATTTTTCCTTTTTCCCTCTTTCCTCCATTGTTATTTTGTGGATAAACATCTCCAGAAACAGTAATTCTCAAATAGACTGTAGAAAAGAAGCACTAAAAGTCATTGTAAAATCTGCAAAGTTGCCAGAATCACTGGGAGTTTTAGCAGAAGTATGGAGAGAGAAATACAGTTCTTCCAGGTTGGGAGTTTTGGGTTATTTTTACATCTCTAACAGCCTTGTGTTGAGGTCATGCAAATATTGGTTGATAAAGGTTGAGTTATAAGTTGGTGGTGCCCTATTTAGTAACAACTGCGGCCCAAAGTGTGCAGGGCTTAGTTTCAGGTTTACTCATACACTCTGAAATGGTAAATAAAGCTCCACAGATCCTTGCATCACCCATCACATACGCAGTGCTTGGGTTACCTCCTCCAAAATTTCAGGATCAAAAATTTAAGGTACCAATCTATAAACCAAATTTCTGCAATGTATTGCTCTTGCACCATACAGAAAGTAATGGAATTGGATATTTGCTGTCTCTGCACTCCAGCTATTTTGTTCCCTTTGCTCTTCACTTCATAGACAGTAAATAATTTCCCGGACTGTATATTTTTATGTATTCCTTTTTGCATCTGCCATTTACTTTAAGTATGTGTTGCTCAATTAATAAGAAATTATTTTCCACTTTTTGGAGGTAGATGACAGCATGGAGCGTTTGTGGGGGTTTTTTTTCCCTAAAACTTTTATTCCAGGAGCTTTATTTTGCAGTGCGTACTATCCTAGAGAACACAGATGTAGTTTTATTTTACACAAAGCAAGTCTGTTCATTGATCCAGCTACTTAAGACCTTAAGTTTAACTGTTTAAAACTCAGAATATGGAAGCTGCTGTGCTTCTGTAGCCATTCTACGCAGTTTGAAGACACCTCACACTGCTCTGACCCTACAGTTTTTAGTTTGCAGAGAGCTGGATGGGATACTCCGGCCCCGGTTACGGCATCCTGAGCCTGGTTGTGTCCGAAAAGTACATCTGGTGCCTGGACTACCGAGGCAGCCTCTACTGCAGCGCCCTGCCCGCCGCAGGGCTGCGCTGGCAGAAGTTCGAGGATGGCGTCCAGCAAGTGGCGGTTTCCCCCTCAGGTGGGTTGGTTTCCACTTCACTGCGACCTCTTAAATATAAAATTTCCCTAAGCTCGTGCATTTTCTGTGCTTTCTTATTTTTTATAATGGCTGTCATTTAATTAGGTGAAACTTGTTGTTTTTTTCTGAGATTCCAAATGTGATTCAGTGCATATATAATGTCCACATAAGAAGTTTATTTGTTTTCTTTTGTTTTTAATGCAGTACTTCCAGAAACTTGGTTGTCTGGGACTTCTTTCATGTAAAAGTAGTGGTTTGGTTTGGGTTTTTTTTTAAGAAGTCATAGAATCATAAAATTATAGAATCATTAAGGTTGGAAGAGACCTCCAAGATCATCCAGTCCAACCTCAACCCAACCCCACCATGGCCATAAACCACGTCCCCAAGTGCCACATCCACACGGTTTGTGAACCCCTCCAGGGATGGGGACTCCACCACTGCCCTGGGAAGCCCCTGCCAGTCCCTGAGAACCCTCTGCATGAAATTTCCCCTCAGATCCAACCTAACCCTCCCCTGGCACAACTTGAGGCCTTTTCCTCTCGTTCCATCACTTGTTATGGGGAGCAGAGCCCGACCCCTCCTCGCTACCCCCTCCTTTCAGGAGCTGCAGAGGGGATAAGGTCTCCCCTCACCTCCTCCTCTCCACTTGAACCCCCCAGCTCCCTCAGCCGCTCCCCAGCATTCGGCTGCTCCAGAGCCCTCCCCAGCTCCCTTGCCCTTCTCTGCCCACGCTCCAGCCCCTCCGTGGCCTTTTTCAAACCAGACCCCAGGATTTGAGGCTTGGCCTCCGCAGTGCCCAGCACAGGGGATGATCCCTTCCCTGCTCCTGCTGCCCACACCAGTGCTGGGACAGCCCAGGATGGTGTTGGCCCTCTTGGCCACCTGGGCACTGCTGGCTCATGGTCATAGGTGTCAACCAACACCCCCAGGTCCTTTTCTGCCTGGCAGCTCCAGCCTCTCCTCCCCACGCCTGTAGCATCCATGGGGTTGTTGTGACCCTAGTGCAGGCCTTGTTGAACCTCATGCAGTTGACCTTGGCCCTTGGATCCAGCCTGGCCAGGTCCCTCTGCAGAGCCTTCCTACCCCAGAGCAGTTCAACACTTCTGACCAGTTTGGTCTTGTATGCAAACTGACTGAGGGAGCACTCAATCCCGTCATCCAGATTGTTGATAAAGATGTTAAACAGGACTGACCCCAAACCTGAGCCCTGGGGAACACCACTGGTGACTGGTCATACTGGGTGATATGACTGCATCTTCACTGCCTCTGCATACCACCTTCTGGTTTAAGCTGTTGTCTTCCTAACAGGTTGACCTTGCATCTTGGGAAGTTTTCAACATGTGTCTGCCTGATTAAAGTGACCTTCAGAAGCAGCAGTTCAGGGATAGACAGAGAGAAATGAAGAGGTCCTTGTCTATACAAAACCTTGGGTTTTGATACAGAACTGCTTATGATTCCCAAATATTTTTTGTTGTTCTAGGTGTAGAATTGGTTTTGTATATCATAGAACAGAGTCACAGAATGGTTTGGGTTGGAAGGGACCTTTAAAGCTCATCCAGTCCAACCCTGCAGTAGCAGGGACGTTGGTACCAGATCAGGTTGCTCAGAGCCCATCAAGGACCTTGAATATCTCCAGGGATGGGGCCTGCACCACCTCTGGGCAACCTGTGCCAGTGATCGACCACCTCATGGGGAAGAGTTTTCCTCATATCCAACCTAAATCTGCCGTTTTCCAGTTTAAAACCATCACCCCTCGTCCTATCACTCCATGCCCCAGTGAACAGCTCTTCCCAGATTTCCTATAGGCACCTTTCGGGTCCTGGAAGGTCGCTATAAGGTCCCCCTGGAGCCTTCTCTTCTCCAGGCTGAACAACCCCAACTCTCTCAGCTGTCCCCATAGCAGAGCTGCTCCAGCTCTTGGATCATCTTTGTGGCCCTCAAACCCTATATGGGTTTGTTTGATTTGATGTTTTTTATAATAAAGAATAAAGCTTTTAATATTAGGTGCATTTGCGTATGAGTTTGTTCTGAATGGTTGGGAATGAGGATTATGTTGGATTAAAATTAGGCAGATTTTGATTATAAGCTTGCATCACTCTTGTCCTTCCAGGTTATTCCAGGACTGGTGTGAAGCTACAAGTTTCTCAGACATTTTCTTTACGTACCTTCCTGCCTTGCCATTACTTTTCTTCCCCCGTCATCTCTT